TGCATTTAATCAAATTTCTTTTTATTTACTTTTTTATAAAACTGACATACTTCACAATGCTTGCAATAATTTCTAACATCTTGAAAAATTCCTGGCGAATAATATTGAGGAGATAATAAGTTTAACGTCGAAGACACGCCAATATGATCAAATTGTAGATGTGCTTTTTCAAGTAACTTAGTACGAAGAGACATTGGAATTACAATTTTATACAGTCCTTGTCTTTTAATAATAAATAATCATTCATTTTCTTATATTTAGGATTGCAAACATTGTCTAAATTTTGATATTCTTTTATTTCTTCTTCTAATAATAAGTTCACTTGCAATCTTAAATGCTGACAAATAGGATTTCTAGATAGCATGTCAGCTTCAACGTTAGTGTATCCCTTTTTATACTTTATATCAAAATCATACATAGGTAATTTTAAAGACCATCTAAATAAGCAACCTGTAGGATGTTTTATATTTTTAAGCCAGACTATAGCAGCATGATCAGTATGTACAGTAAAATGATTACCATGTAAATAATAATAAAATGTATGAATTGCATCGATAACAGATAAACATTCCAGCTCAGTAATTGCATAATTTTGCTCATAAGATCTTAATTTTCTAGAATGAAAAGCAATTGGATATAAATTACCATCAGGATGTTGTTTTAAAACAGCACCAACAGCTTCTTCAGAGGAATCAACAAATACATGACAAAGATATTTAGGATTAAACAAAGTTAAAATAGGCCTAGAAATTAATGCATCTTTTAATTTTTGAAAAGCTATTTGGCATTCATCAGTCCATTTATAGGGAGTATCTTTCTCCCTATAAATGGACTGATGAATTTAAGTAAATTTGTTAGAGGAGCTCTAATTTCAGCATAATTTTGAATAACTTTTATGATATACATTAATACTTCCTAAAAATCTTTGCAACTCTTTGACATTTTTAGGGGGTTGCAATTTCTTAATAACCTCTATTACTGGGCTGGTATTTCCCTGCTTGAATTTCATATCCTAGAAAATATATTTTTTCTTTAGCAAAATTGCATTTAGATTGTTTTAATTCTATATTTTCTTTTTCACATATATCAAATATTATTTTAAGATGGTTTAAATGTTCATTAAAATTTGGAGAAAATACTATTATATCATCAAAATAATTTAAAGCAAATTGAATCTGATATTTGTTTAAAATTTGTCTAAGAGCTCTTTGAAAAACAGCTGGGGAATTCTTCCAACCAAAAGGTAGTCTAGTTTAAACTCATAAAGTCCAACATTTGTAGTAAATGCTAATTTTTCAGTGTCTTTTTCATTTAATTTTTTATGCCAATAGTGTGATGCTAAATCCAATGTAGAGAAAATTTTTGCATTTGTTAATTGATTTAATACAGCATCAGTTCTAGGAATGGGCTCAGAATCAGTTTTTGTAATTTGATTAAGCTTTCTGTAATCAATACACAATGTAGTTTTTGCCTGTTCATTATGTTTATAAGCTAAAGTTACAGGAGCAGCATAAGGACTGTAAGAAGGTTTAATAAGTCCAGTATTTAACAACTCGTCTGTTTGCGTCTTAATTTCACTATTATCTTTAGGAGATGCTCAATATGGTCTATAGGCTATTGGTAATTCAGAAGTTAATACAACTCTGGGGAGGGGTTCAATCTTTATACAACCAACATCATATTTACTCTTAGCAAACATATGATTATAGCTATTCAACAATTTTTGTAATTTACTGTCAGAATTTTTACTATTTCAAAAAATAGTTACTAGACTTTTTTGTACCAATATCACTTTTACATACAAAATTTTCGCTTTTTTCTAAATATTTACCAGATTGTTTAGCATTGATATAATTTTTACGTACAAAATTATTTTGAAAAAATTTATCTAATTTAACATTTTTACTCACCTGTTTTCTAAACTGATAAACTTGATAATTATAAAAATTCAATTATAATTTGAACAGTGAAACACGGGATGAAGATAATAATAAATAATTTAAATTAGAATTTACCACATAATAATTACATCATTAATGAGTTTACCTATTTTACATGATATTTTAATATAATGAGTTTACCTATTTTACATGATATTTTAATAATGCTTTCTACATGAATCTGATTAGATAAAGAAAATAATTTGCTATTAGATTTATCTTCAACTTGTTCAAAGTTTTTACCAATACCCTTAAAAACATTGTAAAAAAGAATGTTTACCTGAGAACTTGTGTCTATAATGGATGGTACACTTTGCTGTCCAATTCGGACATTAACTTTAAAATATACTCACCTTTTCTGTTCATGTTTAGGCACTGTGTTATGATAGTTTAAAGAAAGTACTGGTTGATAATTAAGCGGCCTGTATGGATAATGGAAAGGTCGAGGCCTATACTGATTTGGCTGAAATGGCCTAGCAGAATATCTAGGTAGAGCTTGTCTCGGAGCAGCAAATCTGTAATCACTTCTTGCACTTTCTACTCCATCCAGTGGCACTGGAATTGGGAAACGTTTTCGAGCTATTTCAATCCATTCTTTTGGTGTATTTATTTTCTGGATACTGAGCAGCATCCGTTGTGCTTCTGGAAGACCCTGATTGAGGTTCTTCAACCATTGTAGAGTCATTTAATTTGAGACTACCTTAATTTATTACGAAAATAGAGGTCAGTATTATTAAATTTTTTGTATGTGACAGATATAAAGTCATTAACTGTCACTACCTCTGCACTGGAAAAATATGTACTGAATTTTTCTTTTACTGCTTCCCAATCTTTGTCTAAATACTCGCAAAAGAAGTTTGCAAGTGCTTCTCCTTTCAGGCACTCAGAGAATAGTAGCAGTTTGTCCTTATCTTGAATATTTTTTATGTTGCATTTTTGTTTAAATAGCAGAATGTAATTATCCACAGGAATATTACTTTTGGATTCATCAAAAATAGCAAATTGGAATTTTGTTTAGTCGATACTGACTATTGATTCTTGTGTATTTATTGACATCACGGCTTTAGCTCTTGTCTCCATTTTTGAAGCACCGATATTCAGTTTGCACAAGACTCAGACTTGAAGCACCACATTTCGTAGCCGACAAAAAAAAGCAAAACACAGGGAGATGATGATTGACACTATATGATGTCTTTGACCCACTTTACGGTAGACAATGAATTTAGAAAATAAATCCAAAGGAACTTTTTCCACGCAGAATAAATCCTACCAACTAATTAATAAGCTGCAATATTTTGGCAGCCAGGCACATGAGTTAAGCTTTGCAATCCAAGGACGACACAGAAGAATTTAATTTTATAGCTCCATATCTTTATTCAAGTCAAAAGGTATATTATCACTCTTTACTAAATAAGATTACATTCACTGTGTCATAGTATTCTAACAAAGAAAGGCAGAAGAGCGACCAGCAGCATAGATCTTAATAGCATTGGGAGAAAACGGTCTCTCTGACATAAAATGGTGCGAGTTCTCTATTTATAGAAGCAGTTATGTAATAGGCTTAAATGTTCTGGAAAGTACTGGTCTAGGGAAAAGCTCCTGAAATTGCAGAAAGTTAATTAGAGGTTGCTTGTTTGCATAGAGCAAAGCCATCCTACTTTTTATATTTTACATATATACACACAGTTGAATCTCTGTTCACCAACCCAATAACCAATTTAACAAAATTATTGGATTAATGAGAAAACATTCGAAAAAATGCATTGAAAATCAGTAGCATTCATGAATTTGCTTACCAGTGGTTGGTCATTTAGCCTTTCTTATCACTGATGGATCATTTACCAGTTTTCCTATTGTGCATTATAGTTCAAAGATGTGGTTTATGTGTGCTAAATATGAAAGTAACAATAACCTGATATTGACTCATAGATGTACTTCAAAGGGTAAAAGGATATGAAGACAATCACTCATTATGTTTAAAAATGGAAAAATGCAGAAAAGAAGTTTCCAAGTTTTGGAAGATAAAGAAATCAATCATGGTATAGATATGGAAAATAGTCAGAATTGCAGTGATAAGATTCTAATGAAATGAACACAGACATTGTGAAAATTAGCCATGAAGTCTTAGTTTAATCTTGATGATAGCAGACCACTTGAGGGCTATTTGCCTGTAGGGAGGAATACCTTCATGAATGACATTTTAAGGGAAATTGCATTGTCTTCATGTCTCATATTTTAAAAACCATGAAAACTCTTATTCCCATTGCAGGATTTAAACCTGGGTCAAACTACTAGTGCCTGACACTTTTATCTCAGAGCCAATGGTGGGTACTGAGGTCTCAAGCAAACATCAAATAAAGCAACATTTTGATGCTGTATGGATCTTTTGATATTGTAAACTGACGTGATCTTGTGGCAGCTGATAGAATTTTAGAACTGCCACAACAAAGTATAAATTACTTTTATTATAAAAAGAAAATATTTTATAAAAGTATGTATAGGAAATTTTACATAATTTCTCAAATTGCTTGAATTTTGATGGAGTTTGTGTATTTATGTTATTTCATGAATATTTTTGTCAGAAAGTAAAATCTTGCATGGATTGTTTATTTAACTGGAGAAATTGCTTTTATGTAATGAAAAAAGGGTTTGTTAAAATGTTGACATTTGCGTACTTGTTTTCAAAATTTCAAATAAGCATTTTCAGAAAACATTGTCATATCCAAGGTGATTGAAATTCCAGTTACCTTAGGTAGCTGAGATTCTGTTATATGTACATAATATGGTTCAGTGCTTTTCTTTTTCATTAGTCTGTAAATTGGTGATTGAATTCATCTGAAATGAATCATTTCAGATGATAGCACCATTGGCAATAGTTTCTGAACTGCAAAAGGACCATTGCTGTTAAAATAATATTTATATTTTTAATATTTAAAATAATGTTCTTTGAATATATGTAAATAAATGAAGCTAAACCTGTATATTTGTAATAAATTATTTTATGACATATTCCGTTTTGCACTAGATTTGCATATATTAATTTATTAAACATATCATTAGGCTTTATATGACTGTGAATTTCCAGTTCCAAAACCTGTTGACTTCAATAGACATGCTGTTGTTATGGAGGTTGTGAAAGGATATCCACTGTAAGTTGAGTATGCATAATGCATTAATATATTTAATGTGGTTTTTTAATGACATTACAATAAGGGGAACTGAAAAAGAATGACTTCCTACGTATAAATCATAATATAGCTTTCTTTAAATGATTATTTTTAATTCACCAACATACAATTCATGTATCATGAAGATATTTTCATAAATCCCCCCTTGGTGTTTGTTTGCAAAATATGTATATTGTTATTTGTGTGTAGTGCTTATTATATATTTTGTGTTTTTGTACTAATTAATCTTAAATTTAAAAAAAAATTAAGAAGAAAGAGAGATTTGAGTTATAAGAATAAGTTATGTAGCCATATATTTTAAATTTTAAAATTGTAGTTATGAGAATTACAGGATAAATATTTAACTTTCTTTTTTATCTAACCAATCTTTGTATTATGTTCCATTTAGAAATGATGTATGTGTTTCATGTATTCTTTAATTTATTACTGGAAATTTTAAAATTCAGATGTTGGCAAAAATTAAAAGTTCAAATAATGTATAAATTCTGTAATACTTGCTTTGATATAAAGTATAAATAACATCTATATATTTTAATAGAAAAAATTTGTAGTATAATATTTTTTTTTCCTTCAAATTTTTTTTTTTTTTTTTTTTTTTTTTAAGATACCAGATTCATGAAGTTGAAGATGTGCCTGCATTATATGATGAATTAATGAATATCATTGTTAGACTTGCAAATTATGGGCTAATTCATTGTGATTTCAACGAGTTTAATATTATACTTGATGAGGATGATCAACCAACCCTAATAGATTTTCCACAGATGGTATCAACTTCTCATCCAAATGCTGAAGGGTAAGTTTTTTCAGTTAATAATATTAAATGGTGATTAAAATGTGATTATTCTTATTTTAGAAATTGATAAATAGTAACAATTTTGTTATATTATTGGTATTTAATGTAGTAGTATTTATTCATCTTAATTAAGTAATTTTCACATTATTGAAATGTTTTTTATACTAATGCATTTTGTTCTGAAACTGTACAGATTAATGGTGCCAGCTCTACTAATTTTTCACCACATTTCCCAGTCTTGTATAAGATTGTAAAATTTCCCAAATTTTAATTTATAACTTTTACCAAGGAAACGGTTTCCCACCAATAAATGTAATTTAAACTGTGCAAATTCTGTTCCTCTTTCTCTAATGATTTTCAGAATATTTTTTTTTTTATCTTAAATTTTGTTTGATATGAATTGTCTTAATCTACTGTAGATATTTGTTCAAATTGACGATCAGCCAGTATTTAATCGGTTAATAGTTGTATTTAATTTTGTTTTACATCAACATATGGTGTATTGTCAAGTTTATCCACATATTAGAATATACATTAATTACTAGTTTAATTCTATTGTATTTAAAAACACTTCATATATAAAAGCTTTTCTTTCCCTGTTCAAGATTTGCTCATATAAAAGTCTAAGAAAATTACAAAATGAAATTAGCAAAAGATCCTAAAATTTAGAATATATAACAATATATTTTACATCAGGCTTATAGTCCAGAAACCTGAACCATCCATTATGAAGTGAATATTAATTAGTTGTGAGTTCTTTTGAAATGGCGGCATCATGCAGCTTAAAAATCTCCCAGAAACTTTTCGATTTTCGGTGAGAACCTTCCAGGTTTTTCTCATTTTTAAAGTTGACAGCTATCTTATTTTCATTCTGAAATTTGATCATGATATATATTGTTCTACTAGTTGCCTGGAATTACTGATTTATACAGTTGCAATATTTAAAATTAAGCAAAAACGCAACACAACATGCTGAACGAACGCTGAACTAAACAACTATGAACAAAATTCATAGCACTATCATAACTTCTTTGTGTAAATGAAAATCCTAACTAGATAAATTGTAATTTAATCTTGTTTGAAAATTTTGTGTTTTGCCAGTGCAAGGGTATGGATCAAATATTTTTTTGTAGCCATCATTGTCATTGCAACCATTTCCCATTTCCTGCCATTTTCTACGCAAATTTCTATCGATCAGCACTTGATTATTTTACTAGAATTCCAATACACGTAACTATGGTAAAATTTGAAACTTTTTTACAGTGGAGGAACAAACTGTACTATTTTTTTTAAAAAAAGGGGGAGGCATTTTTCTTTTTTTCCCCCTATTAATGCTTTTTGCATGAAAAATCGTGGAATCTTTGGAAATGGCCATCAGTAGTAGTACAACATTATTGCAACAAAAAATTTTCATAAAGGAACATGGTTCAAATCATTGAATCTTCTATTTATCCATATTCCCAGTTTTAATTTTTGGTAAAATTATCTTTTTTTGATATGTGCACATGCAACAATAAATAAGCCATGCATGTATGTACCACATGTAAGTTTTAATAAACACTTTATGATCAATGGTCATTTCACTCAACAGTATTCGCCAGATTTTAAAATATAAATATTGACTATATACATCTTAATTTTTCTCAAAATGTTCTTTATCACTTATAAATGGAATAGTCCCTGTGAGTCATATAGATAATCAAAAAGTATTTTTTACCAGCTAACAAAATTGCAGCATTTTTTTGTAGATAATCAGAAAGTACCTTTTTTAGGCAACAGAGGTAAACTTTATCTTAGGACTTCCTAAGAATTATTTTCTTGTGATAACCTCAGGTAAAGAAAATATTCATACGAAATTTCAGCTTGCTAAACATTGAAATCTGTGATATAAAGTTAATTATAATCAAATTATATATGTTACATTTTATATAATTTAAGTGCAAGCTGCAAATAAATTTATTTTTACTCGACTTCAAAAGTGTAAAAATTAAGGAAACAATAAATTAAACTTTAAACACTGTGTTTTTGTAGATATTTTATTTGGACATATAAATATATACAGTGTTGTCTGGATGTTGTTTCAAGCATATACTAGAAACATTTGAAATTAACAGGCTGCATGCAAGAGGGTGTAAAATTGAAAAATTTGATGTCTGGTATTTTAATTAAATATGAAATTTCTAAGGAAATTATTTAAATTAGTAATTAAAAAAAACTTCATCATCATTTGAAGAGACTGGATCTAAAAAACCTAAGTCTCACTTTTATATTGCAGAATTAAAAGAGAAAAAGCTGCAAAATTCTGGCATATTATAGGACGAAAAAAAATATTTAACTTGAAATTTGTTCAAAATAAATTTAGGCAAGTAAAATACTTGCAGCATTTAAGAAAAGATAAAAAATCTGGTGATGGCAGAAAAAAATATAAAAGAAACAGAATTTTTCAAAGGAAAATGCTTGCATTCATTTTACAGAGCCCACCAGCGGCCGAGCGGTAAAGTCGCTGAACACTGGTAGTTCGGTCCGAGGTTCGAATCCCGCAAACGGGCTGGCTGCATGGGCGTTTTCGTGGTTTTCCCCATGTGTAACGTGCATACGAGCCAGTTTCCCTTAGAAAGTCCTCCACGAAGGCATCCCTCCTCTTAGGCAGATAGCCCTCGAGGCTTTGCCATACTCACACACACACACACGCATTCATTTTACTCCAGGCAAAAACCATAAAAACTCCCATGTAGCTAATACATTCAAACTACCTATGTTCAGCTGTTTTACTGGTCAGCTGCTAGTGACCTTGCATTTCTGAAAGTTTTGTAATTCAATTCAATTCTTTAATGGCAAATGTTGTGAACCACATTATCACCTTCATATTTGTTTACTGTACCTAATCTGTGCTATACATTCAATCTATATCAAGCATTTTTATCATTATTATCATCATTTGGGGTGTACTGCGTGTATTGCATAAAAATGACTATGACATGCATCATCTTTTTCACAGAGGAAAAATTTCTGACCTAATTTTCAAAAGATTATCAGATTTTATGAAGTTATTTAGATTACTGTGTATTAAGCTGCATTCAGACGGCGGCATAAAGGGCATAGAGGCATAGTCATTATAAAATAAGGGAGTTCCGTTAACACCTGCGAGATGGGGTCTAAGCTGTGGCCAATGAGAGATTCTAAATTTGCGCATGCGTGGATGTGTCTACACCTTTCCCGTGCTGTTTTCCCGCGTTTGTTGTGCTTGTTTTCATTATTTTGTGTCATGACTTTTTCAGCTCACCACAATGTTTTACTGGCTCAACAGAATGTTCTTTTATCTGCTCTTCTTATTAGCCAAGAGGCAACGGAAGAAGGTAAAAAAAGAGAAAGAACAAAATGGTCTAGAGATAATTTTTTGGAAAGACCAATATTTGGTTGGCAGAAATTTCTGTGCAAAGCAGTATGGAATATTTCTGCATTGAACTTTAGTACTCTCTATACTATAAACATGCATATGCATATTTATATATATAAAACATTCTTCAATTTTTATACGTAATTTCTCTTAGGAGAAATACGATATTCTAAATATGCCTAATTTTTAAAAAAATTCTTGAGGATAAGCAACAGATAGCCTGTATATAATATTTTTCCATTTTGCAGGTGTGAAAGCATTAAGCGGAAACCATACATTAATTATTATTATTTTTTTTAATTTTCAATCAAAAGAAACATGTTTCTGTGCTTACCACTCCTTATTCACTGACACTGACACTGACGATCACTACAGTAGTTATAATAGTACAGTAGTAATAATTGATACTTGTAGTGCATGTGCTGCACTACCAGTATCAATTATTACTAATACTAGTATCCTACAGCTGGGCACCATGACCAGCAACCACAACTAAACTTGTACAATACTATGAAATGTTCACCCAACAATGTATTTTATGCTCAATCATTAAATACATTTTGCTGTGTTACCAGCTGTTAGTATGCATCTATTTCTAATCATTTGCATGTATAAGCCGCACCCCTGAATTTCATATGCTTTTTCTGAAAAAAGGGAGGTTACACTTGAGAGAATACAGTACAAAGTAAACACTAACTTTCAGGAGTTTTTGTGGATAATTCTGCAAACTGGTATGTTTATATCACATGAGTGATTCAAATTAAACTTGGCTCTGCTTTGAGATGTCATAGATGTAAGTTTCATCCAGGTCTATTGTCAGAAGTAATTACTTGTAATGATTTTTAATTTGCTAACAGATTATGACAATTCTTCACTCACTGGAAGACATGCATATTAAAGCACCAAAAAGAGTTTAATTTCAACATATGTCAAAAGTAATTTAACATTGACAAATATTAGGTGCCCAAATCTTCAAAATACAAACAAAATTATAAACATTCATACCTTATCCAAGAATTTCCTACCAGAGAAAAAGCATGAATTTTAATGATCAAAATTCCATTCAAATGATATTAATAAAGAATTGATAATAATAACAAATACTATTCATTAAATTATAATCCATGTTATGAATTATGTGTGCTATTCAGTTTCATTAAAAGTAAATTCTTTTCCTGAAGAATGTAATTAAAAAACAGAGATCAACAGGAGACAAATCTGTCTAGACTGTTGACTGTTGTTTTAAGAATATTTCACTACATTTTTTCCTTCTTGGACTTCATAAGAGCATTTTCTCAGAAGATTATTTTTTTATTGCTTATACAAAGCTTACACCATTCAATTGACTATTGTGATTATTCTTAAGTACGTGAAAATAATTTTTTCTTTTTTTTTAAAGTAAAAAATGCATGTCATCATCGTAGATTTCTTGCGAGATCAACTCATTATTTCGTTCGGATATGATTACATCTCATTCAAATACAACGTGCTCCATGTTAACCCTCTAGGCGGCAAGGCCGTATATATATAGCCTAGAATATTTTTGTGATATCTGTAAAAATGTATATATACATGCATAATAAAATATGTCAAAGGAATTAAG